TGGTGCAGTTTCGTTGGAACAGCCGACGACATCTTCAACAAGCATGTCCACTCGAGCGGAAGATGAGCAGTCAACTGTTGGTAAGCAGGGCTTAGCGGAATTAATTTCCAACCAGAGTCAACAGCTGCTGTTAAGCTTGTCATTTAGATTAATGACCGCCCTATATTACGTTGTAGCACCTGTAGTTACTACTGCAGACGATTATCTGCCGGACCTAGTGACGCACATCTTCACACCAGCTCGCGCAGTAGACCTACAAGCTAATCAAGAGTTACGTAACATCATGGCATCCGACGAACCTTTAAGCATCGTCGCACAGTCTTCGATGGCTTCGGCGATGGATCCCTCGACGGGTTCCTTGACACCCTCTCCCTTGACTTCTTCCGATTCCTCACTGAGATTCACAAATTTGTACGGGCTATCGGATTCTGATATGGTAGCACCGTCAATGCAAGAGTACACCATGTCGGTGTACGATACAAATCCCGTCACCGCAACTTCCAGCCGCCATATTGTCCCAGACATACCGGTGACTACACTAAGTCCCCCAACACTCTCTCGGGCAATGTCGACTCGAAAAAGCACAAAATTCGGTGTGTCAATTCGAAAAATCATCAGATGAAAACTTGAGATGAAAATTTGATTTTACCAATTCGGTTAGACAGAGTCACTTTTCGGAAAAATTTCTCGGAACTCCTTTTCGGATTATATAAAATACGGACAATTTTTTATTGTTTGTATTTTGATTTGATCCTCGTAGTTGAATCGTCGGAGAGACCTGTCTTCCACCATGTAGAGACCATTTCCGAACAAGACAAGCGGATGCTACAGCGACAAACCATGCTGACCACGCCCAAGCCTCTGCCGACCATCAGGACCGCTCGGCTCCTGATGGAGGACAACCGTGAGCCAGACCGCTTTCCGGACACCTTCCTCCTCCAGACGTTTCCCGAACCAAAGCTCCATAACCTGAACATTACATTTGAAGATCCATATTCTCACCAGCGAGTGCCGCTCCTTCGTCGTATCATGAAGCGATCCCGACCCACAGGTGGTCAGAAAGTTGAGTCGAGGTCGTCGGCGAACCTGGGAAATTTCACGATGATGCAGCCTGGCCTGAAAATTAACGAGCAACTACCGGGAGCAGGAATTTCTTCCGTGGTGGCCGCTCCTGAAAACCCATTGCCGTTGGATGTGATAATTGAAACCAAAGTCTTGGTCCCACCGAAAATGCCCGTAGGCTGCGGACTCGGTTTCAACTGGAATCCAGTTCGACAGGAGTGCGTCGATGTTAACGAATGCCTTCAGCTCGGAATACGGGTATGTCAGCCATATTACTTCTTATACATAAGGGCTGGCTAACAAAGCTCTAGTCGAAGAACACAGTATCTTATTTTTTTAGGCTTGCGGGATACATTCCGAGTGCATCAACACCATCGGGACTTATTCGTGCCGGTAAGCTGTAATGTACAGTGCAAATTCCCAGCTAATACACTGGTGATACAGTGGAAGTTTGCTTTTGCAGGTGTGTTCCTGGATATCGACTAGACCCTCGCAGCCTGGTCTGTTTGGATATCGACGAATGTATTGAAAGCAATGGTGAATGCTCACCGTTGGCCATCTGCGAGAATAAGCCAGGTGGATTCCTATGTCGGTGTATGAGTGGGTTCTATGGTAATGGAATTATTTGCGAAGTGGACCGAAGCACCTCTGTCGAACGTATCGGTAAGTTCAGCAGCATCTGTATTGAAGAAAACTTTAGTATTTACGGACTCTCTACAGGTGATTCACCGCCAGTACTACCGTGCCAAATCAGTTTTCCTCCTCGGTTGCACCAAGTCATTTCTAGTCCATTCTATCCCGAGCCGTTTCCTGTCCACTCACAGTATAAATTTTGCGTCCAAAAGCTACAAGGAATCTGCAAAACTGGGCTGGTGGTCAACAACTTTCTGCCATCAAGGGTCAGCCACCAAGACTACGATTACCTGAAACTCCAAGGGAAGGTTTTCACCGGTACCGATATCAATGAACAACAGCTGTGGCTGCTCGACTCAAACGACGCAGCTATGGAAGTGGAGTTCTCTACGGACTCGGAAATTAAAGGCAACCGCTTCCAGCTGGAAATTGTCCAAGAACCCTGCGAATCAATTTTTAGTATGACACCATTTCTAGCATACCTTTGTGAAATTTTCAGAATTTTACAGAACCAATATGGGACATCGGCAAAGGAGTTCAATATGATCATCTCATGTGGCGCACGTTAACTGAGATGGTGCGCCACTTGTGAAAGCGGTCTTTTTCAAGTCATTCGGCTACGTCCCATATCTGCTCGAAAGGAAACTCGAAAACAAACTTAGACAGAGATAATTGAAAAGGAATTTCTCGCTGAAACTATTCCTTTATTTTCAGCTGTACCAGAGTGTGCGGAACTGCTCAACGTCCGTAACTTCTCCATTACAAGTGCCACACCCCACTACCTGGACAACATTGCATGCACCACAGCGCTATATCCTCCCGCAGAAGCGTGTGGGATGGAGCTACTGTTTTACGAGTTTAGTTTGGAAGGACCCAGAGAAACCTGTCCGTATGACTACCTCGAAATCAACGAGGACAAAATGTGCGGTAGCATGAAGAACGAACTGCGCGAGATCATTTTCCCAAAGGGTACTCCGAAGGTCCCCATTATATTCTCAACTGACGGATCACTGGTTTCTGTCGGCTTCAACATAACTTTTTCATGGATTTTGGAATGTTACCACTAGTTTTATTTCGGTTTTCGAAAGCTTGTTTCATCGAGCTAAAGATCTTGCTAAGTTGCTATGTTAAAGCATGCGGGATAGAGGGCACAGTAAGGTCGATAAGTGAACTTCAAAAGAACAAAACGATAACAAAGAAAATAACCTATTAAACATCAAAATTAGTCTGTAGTATTTTTGAACTGAATGAACTTCGTGCTGTAGTATTTTGGCCACTTTGAAAGCTATGCAGTAATGCTGACTGCAATATGTCGGTAGCCAGTCCGATGGCGAAAGCAGGAATATTGAAAACTGGTCTCTCGAATGATGACGAACAAGGTTCACAGGATTCATTCTACGACCTGGAGGAGCAGTTGATAAAAAACATTAAAGAGGTTGATACCACGGGGGCTACCAGGACGCGAACGATTATTAGCGGCTATGAAATCAACTACGGCAAGCTCTTAGGCAAAGGTATCAGCTGACCGATCAGTTAATGCCCGCTTTACTACGTATTTTCTCCCTTTGAAGTTTGCTGCAAGAGGAAATGGAAAAATTTTTTAGGTTCGTATGGAAAAGTGTGTCTTGCAACGAATCTGCCAAATGGAAAGACATATGCATGCAAAATTATGGACATCTCTCAAGCTCCAGTGAACTTTGTCGATCGGTTTCTTCCACGAGAACTCGAGGTCTGTGGCTCGCGAGACTGTACTGTTTAGTGAGGAATTCGCACGCCGACTGTTCTAAGACTGCTGTTCGTTTCAGATACTGTCTCAGCTTCGTCATCCCAACATCATCCGCGTATATACTTACGTGAAACACCATCAAATGTACTACATCTTCATGGACGTAAGTATGTACAGAAATGACTTACCGACTCGTGACCTCGTTGTCAAACGCGAGGTGGCTGTATCTTCATTTCTTTGCTGCAGTACTGTTCGAACGGTGATCTTCTCCGTTATTTGCAACGGAAGGGTCAAGCTGGAGAAAAGCTGACCGAAGATGAAGCACGTGACAAATTTGTCCAAATCCTAATGGGCATTAAATATTTACACCAGCGCCACATTGCCCACAGAGAGTAAGTCTGATATCGAAGTTCCCTTATGGTTTTTGTCTCGCAATTATGCCCGATCTTTGATAATTTTCTGCAGTTTGAAGTGCGAGAATATAATGATTGACGGGACTACCCTGAAGCTTGCGGACTTTGGATTCGCTCGTTCATGCCTCGACCCAACGGCACTACAGCCCGAGAGCAGCTCGCACACCGCTCGGGTTCAAATCGAAGAGTTCCGTTCTCGTAAGGTCTCCGTCCTGCATACATCCGATCCTAACGACGAAGACCATGCTTTCCGTGAAATGCGTCGTCGATCACACGTTCGTCACTCCGCCGCTGCCCAGCTAGCTCGTATCCCACCGGACCGGTCCTCCGGCGGATCCCTCCGGTCGAAGTCGCGCACCAGCACCCTCACGTCCAACAAACGTCAACGGCGAACTTCTCAGTCCACCACGAAGTCTACATCCTTCTGTGGCTCAGTAGCCTACGCTTCGCCGGAAGTGGTGGCCGGTGAACAGTACGATCCAACAATCAGTGACATGTGGTCGTGCGGAGTGATACTGTACATCCTGATGATGGGCAAGATGCCGTTTGACGACTCTCACCCTCGCAAAATGCTGCGAAGACAACGAACTAAAAAATATCTGGAGAAAGTCCGCGGTGTGTTGTCTGAACAGTGTATCAACCTGATGGAGAGCCTTATGGAACCCAGTCCGAATAAAAGAATAACGGTGGACGATGCGTTGCTTCACACGTGGCTACGGCCAACGTATAAGAGCATTCTCCAGAAGCTGATTGCGCATGAAAAGCGGGCGTATCGACGAAAAACCCTTCCGACCAAACTTGTTGACCAACAGGAAGTGGTGAGAAACATGACGTTGTGTGACGCCACCAAGAAGCTCGTTCAGATTGACAAGGTCCGCTCAATGCAGTCCGCTATGTCGACAAGTTCTAAGTCGACAGCTCTTGATACTTCGAGTCGGTCAGCGAGGTCTACAGCTTCTGATCGATCAAGTAGATCCGATATCTCTGACCCGAATGGTGTAATGTCTGTTGATTCTCAATTGGCGCATGCGCAGAAACCTGTTCTTCACGCGAACAAAGTTCATTTTTAACCGAAAACGTGCGCGGGTTGCACTTTGGCCATGCAGATTCAGCTCTATCCAGATATAACACATTGTCCCGATAAGTATGCACGAAATATTGTCAGTGTCGCGGTGTCCGAGTGGTTAAGGAGATTGACTAGAAATCAATTGTGCTCTGCACGCACAGGTTCGAGTCCTGTCCGCGACGAACTTTTTGCCTGTTTTAATCACTAAATTATTCTGATTGATGTTTTTCCGGCGTAGTGGCGGATAAGGAACGGCGTTGGTTATTTTATTACTGCCGAGCTCAAAATACAGAGAATAAAACATTTTTTAATCTGCCATCACAAGCTGTCAAGATAATCAGTACGAGAAAAATGGAGTGGGTGCAATCAGAATGCAAAAAGGGAATGAAACTTGAACTTATTACGGCAGACGAAAATTACCGGGTGTGAGCTGCTAACTTTGCGAGCTCATCGTAACGAACATGTACAATAAAAAAATTATTCCTCGCTAAAAAAGACACGTCCGGAATGTAAAATATCAGAAAGACATAAAATGGGACGGGCATAATTATTCAAATCGATCGGCGCAAGTTTCCCATTCGAAAACTGATCTTCATCGGTCCACCACATCCATAATGTTTGGTGCCACAGTCACGATAATCAGCTTACCATCTTGCAGACCAGCGAGAATGTGACTGTTCTGTCTTGTTACGGCCAAGGAAGCAATCGAGCCGGACACCTGCATGCTGTACACTTGTTTCAACCTAGTCGAAGCAAACCACAAAAAGAAATAAATTGAGTAAGTGCACTGAAAGAATTCCTTCGCTTCACTGCTGTAATACAAAACTCCAAATGGGATCTGGGCAAATGAGACAAACCGGATCGTCATCTCACGTGACGCATGTTCTCGTTGTTATCAGCTGAAAGTGCGCGCCACTTTGAGCAAACGATCTGCAATTCATTCTCCCACGCCCGAAACTGTTTCGAAAGACTTACTCGAACCAGTCCCGTATTTCCAATCGACCATCCGCATCTCCGCTGATGACGAAATCTTCACTGGTAGTTAGTTCGTTCACAAAGCCCATCATAGGCGCTGTATACAGGTGTTTACCGTTGACAGAGTACAGGTCGATGCTGTGTTTGCCCTAACAGGAAAAATAACGTCCAGTTTTCTCAAATTCCCTCCAAATTTCGAAAAAGAGGAGAAAAGGACTTACGAGTCGGCATTCGGGGAAATAGCTCGCCGCACATATTTTGCCGTCGTACATGATGACCACTTTGTTAACTCTGTTCCTCGGACTGCACGGTATCGTGCGATTAGGATATAACGTTCGTACATAGGATCCATTCTTGACTGTGTGGACAATAAGAGTACCATCTGCGGCGCCACTGACAGCCATGTCCAGTTCCACGGAGATGGCCACAGATGTCACCTCCGAGGTATGCCCGTAAAGAGTCTGCAACGGCTTGCCGTTTATGCCCAGAGGAACACCGCCTTGTTGCGTGACTTCCCAGATCAGACAGGTGGTATCTCGACTTCCGCTGATCAGAGTAAGGCCGATGTTGTCCAGAGCCACACAGGTGATCAAATCTACAATCGTGAAAGAAATTCAAGCTTTTTCCGACCACTCGGCAATGGTCAGCAAAATTGTCTTCTACCTCTGTGTCGGATGACTTGAGCGGTGATCTTCCCTTTGGCAAAGTTGAAGAGGCGTAAAGAGTTATCCCAGTTACCACAGAAGAAGAGTAGCCGACAGTCAGCGGTGATGGCGAAGAGGTTCGAGGTCACGTTGAGACTCGGATGGAATGGTCCGGCGATACTTCTTGCAAACCTATCGTACAGACATCGGTGTCAATTCCGTGCGATCAGATTTGCAAGGACATTGACGTACAATATTACCTTGCGTTCAGCATGGCTGGGTCTCGTTCGAAAGTCATGTTCTTCGCCGATGATCGATCAAAAGGCGTCCATGAGTGAATCCCAACGGACCCGGACATTCCCAGTGTGATCAAGTCACTCTTGACTCCTTGAGCTGACGCTGCTCGCATTGCTGCCCGCGGTAAAGCTAGATAGACCAATGCATCTCCTTCCACATTCGCCTAAATCAAACAATACGCCATACAACTGTCAGCGAGCTGTACGTTACGATAAGTGAATTCCATACTTCGACTAGGAAGGCCTTTAGGTATTTCGTATGGTGGAAGACATTCAGCGATCTCCCTTCAACGGCAGAGTACTTCCTCAAGGCTTCATCGAAGGTTAGCCGACGAGGGTGAGGTTCTTTGAGGAGTTGTGTAGGAGTCTGGCCGAAGTTGTTAATCATGCCTTCTGTGGCTTGTCGCTCTACCGGGTCTTTGATTGCGTCGAGGTCGACAGCTCCTTCGTACGTACAGTAGTAGAAAACATTCAGCGCTTCTATAGCTTCTGGGCCTTGTTGCTTGTAGCCAAAGACAAGGTCGATCCATTCGTGCAGGTGCGCGGAAACATAGTCGCTTTCGAGAGCTTTGCGATGTCGGTAGATGAATTCTTCGGGAGTGGAAGCCCATTTCGGTAAGAGGACATCGTTGACTCTGTCCCGGGACTGTTGCAACCGACCCAAGTCAAAACCTGCAAAACAAAGCAGAAACGACTATGGATATCTTCTTTACTCGATTGTGTATAAACATGCATACACGACCTAAACAGACCAACACCACGAGATCGTTTTCCAGAGTGGCGCACTCTGTCAGCCAATAACACCGAGAACGTGCGCCGTTCGGAAAATGATCTCGTCGAGGTGGTTGGCAACGGTTTAATGCGCAGACGTGCACAGGTTTTTACCGTTCAGGTTGACCAAAAATTCTGGCAGGTAGAAGAATTCAGGTATGAGCTCTTTGACATCGTTGGGGTTGTTCCATAACAGCTCCCAGGTGCTGGCAATGGAATGAAACTGCCGGTCAGCCACGTCAAATCTCCCACTTTGCAGTTGGATATGCATCGTGGTGAAGGGCTCAACCCGAAGCAGGTAGTGGATGACACTAGCTGGATTGCTGTAGTGTTGACCGTAATGGAAGGGCTCGATGGTCCCAGTTGGATCTTCGAAGTTGTCGAACCTGAAACGAACTTCCCTCAATTAGAACCCGGCACAACGCACTTGGAAAAAATTTTAAACCTGCTTACTTGTTACGAACTTCGTTAACACTCTTTGGATTTTGGACTCCCATCGGACGTGTGAAGTCTCGAAAGGTCCCGGGGTCGTCCAAGTTCAGTTCTTCACTTTTGTAGTCGCGCAAAACCCATGGGAAGACGGGGTACTGACTGAGGTCATTATAGGTTCGTCCCGCGATGGTGTTCAGTGCCATCAAATATTCGAAGTTGCTAATTTCGCGCTGAACCCACCTCTGAAAAGAAGAGATACCGTAGAAAAAAGCGGCTAAACGACGTGCGCGGTCAAATCTGGTACACAAACCTGGGTCAAGTTTGATGCCCGCAGAAGAGACGACGGGTTGGTCGACTTGAAGAATGTCAGTGACGGCGGTTTCAGGCTGATAATTTTTCGGTAGATCTCGTTCCTTGTCTACGGTCGAGGTTATCCACAATTATTCAGTGGTGAAGAACCAACATGAATTATTTAGGAATGGCAACAACGGCACCTTTATTTTGAAATTGATCAAAAAGTTGGTTTGATCAACCAGGAAGAACTCCATTGCGCTCCGTCGGAGATTGTACCGCCGTGGATGAATTTCTCGAAGTGAAGAAAGCGGCACTTCTATATCGTAGCTTTCACCTACACAATGGTCGCATGTCATTCATGCAAACTAACCAGCCATGACGCAGGGCAGAGAGAACCACTTACCCGTGTTGGCGTCGAATGTAGGGTTCATCGCATGGAACTTTATTCTCTGCGTCGTCAGCTCGAACCTTCCCTGTACGAGCTCCGTGATGGTGACGAGGTCACATAACTCTTGCATCACCATCTTTTCCTTCTGTTCCAGTTCCTGAGTCTCGGCAGACGGTGCTCGAGTTGCGGGCACTAGTTCCACTTCCTCATCGAAAGTGAAATCCTCCACTACATGGTCCACTTTGGCCTCTTTCGCCACCACGATATGGACTAACTGGCTGTCTTCGGGATGGTATTGTGGAGCTGTGTAATCGCGAAGTTGTGCAGCCGCTGTGTGGAGGTCGAAGTGGAAGTTTTCGGAGAGCTTCGGTCGCATTCGAAAGAAGTTTTCGTGAGGCGACATCCTTAAAGACATTGTTTCCAACTTTCCTCTATGGAAAAATAACGCAGCTTAGACCATATCTGTCTACCGTTTCAAACGTTGCGAAACGGTGGATAAAACAAATGATTCTTATACCACAAGAATTAATCATACAATGGAAGGTGGGCAAACCAAATGTACAACGTCGTAATCTCAGGTAGCGCACGCACTCGTTGACGCGTGCGCCACTCAAGAGGACGAACTTGACTGTTTCCTTTTGCCGGCCGTTTACTGGAAAATGGTTCCACAATTCAGTCTTACCCAGCGAACCACGGTCCGCGCTCTCGGAAGAGGTATCGTCTCAATTCTTCCCATTTCCTGGTTGTCCTCGCTATTTCCGCCTTGGTTATTTGTTGCGCACTCCCAAACCGATAATTCTCATCCTGGATCTTTCTCTTCACTGGTTCGATATATTCTTGTGTAAATCTCAGTTTACTTTCCCCGAAAGCCTTGTTCCGCTTGTGCAGCTGGGACATCGCCGCGTCCTGTGCTTCATTCCAGAACTCTCCCATGCGTTCTTTCCTAATCTTACACACGGCGTGAACGTAGTCCCGTGACAGTGGCGTCACATGGTTACCGACGAAGTTACCCCATTCCGGGGACCGGAAGTACTTCTGAATGATTGGCCATGTCTGAGGTGACACACTAAGTGCGGGAATGTTCGGTAAGTAGCGCGCGGAACTCAATGTGGTGCCCCATTTTTCCAGAATCAGACGGAGCACAGGCACGATAAACGAGATGTGTTCTTGGTTACTCATGTCGATGGCCATGAACAGTGCGTCGTTCAGAGCGGAAAGAATGTAACAGACTTCGCGTCGTGAACAGCTTAGCCTGTGCTGGATCAGGTAATGCAGTTTGGGGATGACTATGCTGCAGTGGTTCATTTCTGGACATCGTGTCACTGTCAGCCAAATGTCCATGGCCATCTGCAGAGTCTCGGACCATCCACTCGAAGTGTCCG